TATTCTCATCCTCGATTTACATTTATTCCATATAGCTGCATTTACATTTATTCCAATGCTGGAGACCATTATTCTGTTGTTGAATTTAAAATATTCTAATCTGATTTTAAAATGTCCTAATTAAATTCATAATGCTGCGCGCGCGCGTCGAACCAAAACATCATGGCCGACAAACGACAAAGTCTTGCAGCTGCTTGTGAACAGGCTGCTATTGCTCTCCGTTCAATTCAAAGTATAACCAGCGAAGATGTTCAACGGATTGCTGCAACTACGTCTAATACTTCAGATGCAGAAGCAGAGAATCTAACGTCTATCCGTGCTGAATTGGCGCAAAGGTTTCCAAGCTATCGCCCATCGCCATCGGCATCCGGATCTGGAATTTCTGTTCAAGGCAAACATAGCGATTCAAATAGACAAAACAAGAAAAGAACGTGGACTACTAGAACAACAACCAAAGAGGAAGACCTAGTACATCTAATATTGTCTATAGAGATTTAGTGATCATTCCCAATCCTGAAACGACAAAGGTCCCAACACATAAGGCTCGTGTAGCACTTGAAAAAAATAGACTTATCGTGTCAGGTTTTCCCTTTGACCGATCTTGGGATGCTGCCACCTTAAAATGCAACATTGAGCTACAACTACCAAAACGTCATGTGCTTTTTGAGTATATGAAGGTAAGGTTGTTTGGAATCCAGCATATCTTGACTCAATAGCCAAGGGGTTGTCCTGTATCCACTTAGTACTAACTTATTTAAACTTGTTCAAATTTTAAACATCCCTCTTCTTCTTTGTACACAATGGTAGTTTTTTTCTTCAAGTTTGCTAATTTAATAGTCTTAAACCTCGGGTGAAAGTCAGCATTTATTTTTAAAACCAATGTTCATTTGATGCTAAGCTCTCTGATTTCTGTAATCTTAGCTAGTATGTATAAATTATTGACCTGCATAACTTTTAAAATATGTGAAAATTGTGTTTTTATTTAGGAAACCAAAATTAGATTGCTATTTGTACATAATAGCAGATTAACACCCCCTTCCTATTATATATGCAAATGTAAGCATTTATCATCCACATGCTTTTATTACATACGTATGAAATGGGCAAACCCCTGCATGACCAGTCTGTATCTCCAATGTTGTGAAAGTTTTACACACCAAAATCTTAAAATTTTATTTATGTGATCATGGCTCATTTTGTCAACACCTTGTATGATCCTGCCAAGATCGTGATTCATCTTGACAAGACTTAGGAAAGATGTTTCAAGGTCTTGGCAAGGTGCTTAAGCTGTGAATGCTAATTGGTGATTGATTCTTATGTTACACAATAATTGGTATCAAAACTTTTATTTCACCCATACTTTTTACAGGCATGTTATGGAGAACTTGTCAAACCCAAGTTTGCTAATGGATGTTCAATAAATGCAGATGCTTTGCTGAAAGTCTCTGGACAAGGTGCTGTGTATGTTCGTTTATTGGAAAAGCATGCTGTGTTTGAGTTAGATTGCAGTTCTTCTGACTCTGATGGTGAAAGCCTTATTCAAACTACAATGAATGTCTGTAAGTTAAAACTCACGCTATTATTTATTTTATTACTATGGTGCTAAAATTTGGGTGCACATATAAAAAATATATTTTCTTTAAAAATTAGATACAAGTCGTGCTAATGACAACAATTATCAGGAGGAATTGTCAACACCAGTCACAACACCAACTATTAAGAGCTCTTCCTCTGAGAATTATCAAACACCATTTGAAGGTAGCATACATATTTAGGTATGCCTAGGTACTACTATATTCTATTTTTGACTATATGTTTTCCCCAATTTCAGAATTTTTGGTGAGTGATGGTGAGTTTGTTGCATCTGTTGATATTCAGTCTGATACAGCACCACAAGTACTTGCTACTCCTGAAGTCATTTCTACATCCAACCTTCCTGTGTCATATGCAGCACAAGAATCGACAGATGCTATACAAGAATCGACAACCATCACACTTCACAGATCCAATCTTAGAAAGGAGCTTATGTTGATATTTCTTGATGAGGGCATCTTGAATAAGTTTGTAGTTGTAAAGATGGTCAATGATCATGGTAATGAAGAGAAAGGTGATGGTGATGGAGTTTTTCGTGATGCTCTTTCCCTTTTCTGGCAGGACGCATACATTAGCTTGATGTTAGGAGAAGATGAAAGAGTTCCGTGCATACGACATGATATGAACAGAAGCCTTTGGGAAGCTGTTGCTCGCATTTTTCTCAAAGGATATCTTCAAGCGAATTATTTTCCTGTCCAAATATCTCAAGTATTCATTGTGTCTCTTCTTTTGGCAAAATGCTATTTTTAGAGATGTATTTGGAATCCTTTAAAAGGTACATCTCAAGGGCAGAGGCTGAAGTTATTGAGAAAGCACTTTCGCAAGGATTATCCTTGGATGATGATGATTTTAAAGATTTCCTTACAGCCTTCGACTGCAGAAAGGTTGTCAAAGAAGAGAATCTATCTGATATTTTGATTGAATTGGCTCATAAAGAGCTTGTTCAAAAGCCAAAATATGTTGCAGATTGTTGGGAAACTATCCTTTCAAAGATTAAGATGTTTTTTCCAACAGTTGATACTTTGGAAATGCATTTCTCAAAGTTGAAACCTACATCAGCAAAGATTTGTAGAATGTTTATTGCAAATCCAGAAAGCTCAGCAGAATCAGAAAGTATGTCGCATTTGAAGAGATATGTTAAAGGATTAGATGATTCTTTGTTACGTAAATTTCTCAGACTTTGTACTGGTTCTGATGTTGTCATTGTTGAAGGTATTAAAGTCACATTTACATCACTCGCTGGAGCAAGGAGAAGGCCTATTTTTCATGCATGTGGCTGTGTAATTGAACTACCTTCAACGTATGAAGACTTCTGCAATTTTAGGCAGGAATTTACTAACATCTTGAATCAGGTGGATATAGAAATGGACCTGGTATAGACGAGAATGTTTATTAATTCTTTAGACATATTATTTAATGTTAAGGACTAACTCGTATGTATACATACAATGATACAACTACATGCACATATGGAGTTATTGTTCAATTGTTTATTTTGAGCATAATTTTGTTTTACAACTTAGTTTGCTATATTCATATATCAACCAATATTTGTTTGAAAATTGTTGCCAATGTACTGCCTGTTACCTAGTATTTCTTCAATAAGATTTACCGTTTGTAAATATGCCATAACACTGTCTCCTGATTCAGCATTAATGTTTTCTTTTACAAAGGAAATGCCATGATTGTTCAAACCAGTATCAATCACAGGAACTGTCACTTGGTAATCTGCACAATCAACATCAAGTTGACCTTCATTGTCAACACCATAAGCTTGCATCTCTGCTTCATTTGAAAAGCTATCAACACCAGTGTAACCTGAATTTAAACTTTTCAGTACACCTTGAGTAATTAACTGAATTGGCGAACGATTGTGCTCTGATGAGAGTGGGTGGTGTTGCCATTGCTCAACAAACTCTTCAAGTGATTTGTTTATTCTTCTTTTAAATATGAAATGAAGTGCAAACATGTGCACTTCGTTTAAAGGATCTAAGAGTCCTGAATTCTCCAAATCATTGAAAACAGATGCATAAAAGCACAACACTCCAGCATACACATCTCTGTGTATTCTTTCAACTCTGCAGTTATGAACAGAGCTACCAGTAATGATACTACCCCGATTTAAACCTCTTTGTTCCAGCATATAAGTAGCAACTCCGAAATTCTCCATGCCATGGTCACTACGAACTCTTGATGGCAGTCCATACTTTCTCACTCCTTCCTTAAATTTTTCTAGGACTGTGTTGCTTCTATTGTTATCTGCACAGTGCACATAAACAAGTAATCGCGAGTAACCATCAATGCAGCAGTGCACAACAAACCGATATCTTATTAACTTATGATTGCCGTCTATGTGCCATAAGGCGTTTGGGCAAGGAACTGAGTATGTTCGTCGATAGATAACTGGTCTCCATCTTAATGTAATACCAATTGGATCTACTCGCCTTAAACTGTCTCGTACTTTTCTTCGTTGGACACGTATGTGTCTACCTCGCAAGGCTCCCACCAGCCTACGCTCACCAATATTTGGAGTTAGTTTTTGTATATCTTTAACGACACTATCCAAATCTTCACTGGATATTTGAGACCATTGTAAGTCATAGTCTACATTTAGACCAAACTCTTCTCGCTTTCTTGTTATTGTAGTTATACTAACACCTAAAATCTTGGCAATGGTTCTCCAATTAAAGTGTAAAGATCTTAAAAATTCCAGTTGTTCTTTACTGACTTCAATTTTAGGACGACCAGGACCATTACCTAACTTTTTTTTTCGGCATGAAAAACCCAAATACGTTGTACTTGGCCGTTGGCGACGTAGGATTCCGCATATTTCATCAACATTTTGCATAAGTAAGACTAGACGAGTCTTTAGTGAGTTAAATTCCCCCTCGTGTGTTCTCGTTATTTCTGAGATGTGATCAGTCAACATGCGTAACGTTGCTGATGCCTCTACCAGTCGCCTAGTTAAAGCCTGCAAGATCTCCTCGTCTGCACTTTCTAAACTTTCGTCAAGATGGTAGACTTGACTAAATATAGATTTAAGTTCGTGAAAGAAAATATGCAATCCTCGCTCATTGCGCTCTCTCGGATGATTTACACTACCACTTGTCGCCATTTTGTTTTATCTTAATGAGCGCGCGCAGCATTATGAATTTAATTAGGACATTTTAAAATCATATAGAATATTTTAAATCCATATGGAATATTTTTAAATCATATGGAATATTTTTAAATCATATGGAATATTTTTCAATCCATATGGAATATTTTTAAACCATATGGAATATTTTTAAACCATATGGAATATTTTAAATCCATATGGAATATTTTAAATCCAATATAGAATATTTTTAATTGAAGATTCAGATATATTAAATAAATCGAATAAAGATATGTTCGGCGCGCCATACCTAAAAGTGGAATTTTTATTGCAAAATGTTCTGCCAAAATTGTGGAACAAAGCTTTTGGATAAAGCCAAATTTTGCCACAACTGTGGATTTTGTGCATTATCAGATTTTGGTAAGTACACAATTCTACAGTTTAATAAAATACAAGTGCACGAACGTTCGTTCAATTGCAAAATGGAAGTTGTTCATTCTACTTTTTATATTTAAAATCTTCTTATCTATGCCTTTTATTCTTACATGTTTTCTCCTATTTTTGGCTGTTGTATTATTTTCTGTAACAACATATTTCAAACTGTGTTTAAACACAGAAATAGGCTCAAAACCTTCAAGCAAGACCATTGGAGTAAAACCCCTTTCATTTGAAGAGTTCCTCTTTAAAGAGATGTGTGCAGAAAGGTGGATAGACCCAATTGGCAAGTTATCAGATAATGATCAAAATAACCTGGAAAAAACACTCATTGCTGAAGAGGAAACTGGACAGCCAACTGTTGCCACTATGCAAGAAGTGGTTCATCTAATTCAGGACAATGTTAACAGAATGTCGACCAACAGATTTACCATTCCTAGGCAATTAGATTTTGCTGATTATGTGGATGCACGGAAACAAAAATGGTTTGCTGAAGGAGGAAACCTTAAAATTTGTTCGCTGGTGAACCTTCTATTGATGGTGGTGGCCGAAGGAGGGAGTTTTTCACAGGTGAGAAAATCAGTGAAGATTTTTTCAATTTGTACTGTACAACTGTGCAAAGAAACCAATATGTAGTAATTTGAATGTTTGTTTTATACCTTGTTTAATACTAAGTCTGTTCCATTGTATTGACAGATGTCCTACAACACATTAAGTTAACTTTGTTTGATGCAAAAGGTTGTCTGTGCTTCTTGGCAAAGAATGTGTTTAATTATATGGCGGAAGGGGTAAATAGCATACAGGCCAACAACTGGTTGGAGTTGGTTCATGATGCTAATTTCAAAGATGAAATTGAAAGGTAAAAAATATGCACTCATTAAGAAAAGCAAGCAAATTTCACTTTGAAATATCTCAAAGCTATGCTTAAAGAATAGAAAAAATTTAACTCTCATTTGTTCTACTTATTACCATAGCATTCTTAATTACATTCAGTTAGTTAAATGTGAGAGTGATGAGGAGCTGAGGACATTGCTTTGCTCAGATGACATGATGAACATTCTGCAATCAATTGGCTACAGGGGTTTTCCCTCCAAGGAGAAATTGGCCTTATGATTGACCTTTAAATTGACCTTGTTGTAGGTCGATTGTATTTGCAGGAATTGGCCATATGCTAGCAATGATGGACCAGTTAAAATCTGGTCTTACACTTTTTGGGGTTCTGCAGCAAATTCAACATCACCAGGAGATAATGGCATCAATGCTTACACTGGATGATATTGCTAATTTTTGCTTGACTGCAGACATTGTTCTTGAAAATATGACTGTAGAGATCAGCCTAGAAGGAAGCAACAAAAACCAATTGGAAATAAATGTCCACAAATTTTTTTGTGACTATATTCAAGAATTAGACACAAAAGGTGAATGGGAGATAAATGCAATTGTACCTACTTTAATGGCTTTTGACTATCTTACACATTTTTCCTTTATAGACACTAGCACTTCATTAAAAACGCTGTACAGATTGATCACTGGAAGCCACTCTGTAACAACACTGGGAGCAGAAAAGCACATCACTGTCAAATTTAAGCATGGCTGCCCGTGAATTGTAAATGACGTCCAACTGCTGCTACATGTGAACCAAGTATCTGCTTTCCAATTCACTTTGATAACACCAGTGTGCGAATTAACGGTATGCAATGTGCAATTTGCACATCGTTTTAGCTAAAATGAAAACAATTGCACATCACTTTTTCAAACGATATGCAAAAAACTTCTTTATTGATTACTACCACATAAATTGAGGAAAGTTTTCAAGCTTAATCTTTACTGATCTTTACTTCATAAACGAGTGCGCTGCACGACATTAAAATCCATGTTGACACAATGTCATCAAATTTTAAAGACGTTGTCACTTTGAGACTGGGAAGTCTGTCAACAGTCAACATACATGGTGCTTATATACTTATGACAATTTTTGCATTTGCGTTGTTTTGTAAACCGTTACGTACTGTTTTTGGCATCATAGTTATTTTGAGTATTTTCAGTAAAATCAGGAAACATTTTGATTTTGATTCTTAAAAGAAGACAAAAAAAACTTAAATAAGTCACATTTGAAAAATAAAGCAAAAGGAATTTTGATTTTAAATAAGCCTGACGTGAGAAAAAGAAGCCAAATTTGGCTCAAAACATTAAGCCAAACTGGCGACCTTGATTAGCCATACTTTTTGCTTTTACATATTGTTTGTAATATGACATAAATATGATGTTTTTCATCGTAAGTAAACATCAAGGATGTTACTGTTAATAATCAGAAGGCAAAAGTATATTCGGTTATTCTCTTTTCACTTTTGTCTTTCTTGCCATTTTCGTCGAAAGGTTGTAGCTACCAGCAAAGTTAATACAGTAAAAATAATGGATGGAAACATTAAATGCTGACTTGTTTGAGTGCTAGGATGATGGCCAAGTGGTGAATTTATTGCGCTGTAAAGATTGAACAAAAAAGAGTAGAGAATAACATGCACAACAAATTTCTCTCATACATATGTGACTGGATCAGCGGTTGTAAAGAAAAACACTGTCGTAAATCATATGAATTTGTGCACGTTTAAAAATATTAATTTAGCAACTAGCGCTGTATAATAATTAGCCTAATATCGATTTGATTATGCCTCTAAAGAAACACTTTTGTCAAAAAAAATTGCACGCCGTTTTTTCTCAACTAATTCGCACACTGATAATACTAATGATTTTGAGTTAGCGATGGACAATGCCTTACTGGAGTATTCAGGATTTGGTTTTATATGAACTTGAAAACAAAGTCCTTCGATGTACATAAGATATTGTTCTGTTGTTAAAAGAATACTTTTTGCAAACTTCTCAAGTACTTCATATTAACTACACATAACTCATCAAATTATCAAAAACATTTGCAGCATCATTATAGTCTTCTGGAAACTCTAGTTGTTGAATATTCACTAAGTAATTAAAATAGTCTTGGAATATTTTCCCATTTTCTATTTCTTGCTGTGCAATTCTTATTTCAACTTCCTGTAGCTTCTCATCAGGGACTTGGACTAGACAATCAAAGCCTACATATTGCTCTGGGATGGAAAACAATATATCAGATACTCCCGAGACAGTTTCATGTCGCGACAGTTTTATATGATGTGTATTCCGATATAATTGCACTTCGTCAAGAGAACTTTGAACAAATCCATTAAAGGCAAACCATAAACATTGTTTAACGTAGTCATCACACAAGTTCAGCTGCCTTTGCTGAACAAAGTGTTTAAAAAACTGGATCCACCAACTTGTGCATGACTTTTTAAGATGTGTCCACCAGTTTTCAATTCTCTGATTATGGGTAGATGCCCCGAATGTATGAGCTTGTTCTCCTTCCATTGGCCAATTATCATTGGCTCGAAAGTATCATTGAGCAGGAGCAATCACACCATTTTCAGTACCACAATCAGATCTTATTTGAAGTGGACAACCTCTGTATCTTCTAACAGCATCCAAGTAAAACTGTGCAACTGATTCAGGAGCATTGTTTGACTTTACCACTTCCAACCATAAAACTTTCCGGATGAAGACATCAACAGCACCATGGATAAGAAAACCAAATGGCTTCAATTTATCATATCCTGTTGGTAGCCAATTATAATTCAAATGCTAAATTTTGTCACTGAAATAGATATATAACCAATTTTTTATGAAAAAACATACCATCAATATGCCAGCATTGATTTAGACCTTGAGAAATATGCTGACGCCTTTGAAGCCTTTTCTTTCTTCTTCTAATACTTGCCTCTGGGTCAAGTTGTCTTAGAATTGTCGCAACAAGTCTCCGGGGAACATGCACATAATGTTTAACTCGAAGAATGTGCCACATCCTCCGATAACCGGCTAATGAACCTCCAGCAGCTTGCATTTCTTGCCTGAGAAGGGTTCTCACATAGTCCTCAGATATGGTTTCATTTCGACGAAACAAATGATATGATTTCAAACGTCTTTTGAGAGTACGAACAGTCAATTCAATACCATGTTTCGTCATCAGCAAACAAACAATGAGGTCGTATTTATATCCAGCATGAAAATAATTTTCAATAATTTCTCGTTCATTCTCTGTTCTTAACAAAATTATATCGCATTTAAGGCTACATGTGAATAATAAACAGAATTTAGTATTTAAGAAATATCTTACCCGTTTGTGTAATTCCACATGAAGGACAAAACATAATGTGAACTTGACAAGGAAACTCCACTAAACAATGTTTACAAGCTGCGATTCGATGGATTCGATGGGCTCGATCACAATGCTCTTGATGATCCATTTCTCGATCTTAATATACGCGCGCACAAGTTTGAACGTTGCACGGAAAACAAGTAATATTGTACGGCGAAGCAACAAAAGTTCCATGGAAAACATAGCATTTTGCGCGGAAATTTTTAATGTTTAATGAAAACAGAATATTTTGCATGGAAGTATTGTGTCCCTTGTGGGCCACCGTAATTTTTGCCCCTATGTGCAATACGATCTTTATTCTACTCCTGAAAACTTAGAAAATTCTTTAACCTTTAACGGGTTTACATGACTGCGGAGCGTTTTTAGGAACGATTTGTCTAAAGCCTGGGCCACACTATCGTCTATATTGACGAAAACGAAACGAAAATTCGTGCACGAAATGCATGCCAGACACGACGAAAAATTACAAGCATGTTTGCAAAGCCAAAACTTTTTTGGACAATAAGCAAGGGGCGTTTTTGACGGATTAGAAAAAATGGCGATATCTTAAAGAAAAAGATTACTTCTTCTTAAGAAAAAGTTACTGCTTTTTCAAATACCAATCAAAGTGTCGCCACCATTTCCAATTCGGCTCGTCAGTGGCAGCAACACCAATAGCTCTTCTAAGATCGTACTGCCTTTTGTACTGCATGAATGAATCACGCAGATTAGACCACTTTTTCATGATAGTGTCAACTGTAAAATGTTTAAAAAATAATGGAAATGCATGATTTGATATAAAAAGTGTGTCGGCGGACTATCTGTAATTTTATTAAATTCATCCAAAACATCTTGCCAGTGATTTTTTTCTTGTTCCTCGAGTCCTTATAATTCGGGTGACTTTTATCATACAAAATTGGTTTTTCTTGCATCAGATTTATCAAAACCTCTTGCCACTCCGCCATGTTTGAGTACAAAGTCTGATATTATTAGCCAATAGTATGCGTTTTCGTTGACGAAAAAGGTCAAAAGTTCAACTCTTCTAATATGCACGAAAACGAAATTTTCGTTCAAAATTTTCGTTGCGGCAGTTTTCGTTCTAATTTTCGTCGATATGGACAATAGTGTGGCCTAGGCTTTATACATCCGCTGAGTCTGACAAAGCTGTGGATATCCGTGGGCATTCAACCACAGTATAATGAATGTACAGTAAGTCCACTTCGTGTGAATTGGCTGCTCTATGTTTACTTTGATTACTGGATGCGTTTAGCCATTTCATCATTCCTATTGGTCAAAAAAACGATTTACTTGCTGCCTCTATTGTAATCACATGCGTAATAAGATATGCGTGGCACGAAAAAATTCAATGAAATGTCTCTAAAAAATTCAATGGAATGTCTAATGTATTTCAACCCAATGCTTTGCAGTTGATAGTCTATCGCGAGAAAATCTACATCATTCGAACAATTATTTTGAAAAAATGTTTTAATTAAAAATATTTTCGTCACACAGAAAATTATCTAAATAAACAACAAACACTAAAATGTTTGCAAGTTTAGTTGTGCTACGTAAATTTCAGGGTGTGGTTCTGCGAAGGTTGAGCAATTTACTGTAATTGGACGCTTCAAAAATGTCTTAAAAGAGAAAAAAGTATGATTTGAACTGGACAATCAATGAAATGAAATATTGATTACAGAATTACAAAATTTTATGATCGTAAAGAAAATATCACCACATTTTGCACAAATATGAAAAAGTATCCAATGTTTAACCCTATATATCCAGGCTTCGTGCAACCTGCCCCAAATCGTTAAGCATATTATTTCTTGCTGGTTTTTACATTCAATGAACACCGAAATATGGCTAGCTCCGGCACTGGTAGTTTGCGTATATTCATTTATTAAAAATCTTTACTACTTCGATTTAATCATAAAAATTTCTCAATTCGCATGTTCTATAAAACTCATAAACACCAATTTTAGTTAAATTAGCATTCTTTTGTACGTCCTTTTTAAAATTATTCGAATTTTCCTGCAAGAAAATATCGTTTTTTAAGAAAATGTAGTGAAAATCAATAAAATCAATAAATGCAAAAGTTCTTTTCCTTTTAGAGAGAAGGTGGTGACAAGAAATATAAAACAAATGCAGTACGTTTGAATAACAACGCTCTGTCAAATTATAATGACTTCCAAGAAACACTTGAAGCACTTCTTGTTAATCCGTCTCACCTTTCGTGGTTGGATTTGTCATTCAACAACTTGACAACGATCGATAAGGTATGAGGAACTCTTAGTAAAAGAAATTGTTTGAGTGTTTGTGACGTAAAAATTTCGAGTCATTCAGAAATTCATGGAAGAAGAAATCATTTGCTTTCAACGCTCATAGCACTCTCATCGTACAATAACACACAGTATCTTGCGATTAGCACCTATGTCAGGCAGGTAATGGGCAATTATATCCTTGACGTAATTTGTCCTACATCTTATTTGGTAGTACATTATTGTCGATTTGAAAGCCATATTATGAGTTGGACCATAATGCTATTCTTCTAGCACTACTCATTTGTCTAGTTGCTCTGTTTCAGCTATTTGCAACAAGATGTAAAATACTTGGAACGCGAATTTAAATTTGTAATGTCGCGTGACTATTTCACATGAAACTTTTCTGACAAACACTATGGTTCCAAACATAGTACAAAGCTTTAAACAAACACTTGACTTGCATTTTAAGTTCTTTAAATATGTTTATATATTTGTGATTAGTCGATATCTTTCGCAATATAACTTTTATTCAAGTTGCCATTAGCAAAGACCACACATTGGCTTCTTGATTATTTAACGATGTAATTAATAAATGGGCCCATGCGTTTGAAGTCCAAATGACATCATTTATAGAAAACAAGAAATGTGATTGCTTTTGTTTACGATGTTGCTTTATTTATGATAAAAAATTTGCGTTACTATATAATACTTGTTGTTCGAAGAAACTTGATAATTCACGATGATTTTCCATCATTTGATGTGAATGAAATGGACAAATTTACCTGGTCTTTGATTTCTACTTTAAAAAAGATGATATGCCACTACTTTCTTGAGCACTTCTTCTGTTCTCTGACTTCAATCAATGTACAGTTTGCATTGTGCAGTTTGCGATGAAGTGTAGTGGCGTTTCCAACTCGATATTTGGGGTCTATGACATCAACAATAAACAATTGCTCTACAATTGTTCAAAGGGAATACACGCTCTGAAGTTGTAATTCGTCTGACTTTCTAAAGGATAATAGTCAGTTTGTTTAGACCAGTTGGTGAGCACATTCTATTGTGAATGTTATATAAAAGGAAAAATACATAACGCTGCTGTGTCAAGCTCACCAAGTCTACTAAAATTACACCGTATTTCTTTTCTTGTCTTTCTTTCTAGCGGTATTTGTCATTTTCTTTTCTTTGTTTGGTTTTTTCAATTATTCCAAAACTCATTTTGGAATCTCTTCCGCAACTATAGTTTGCATGTCGATATCATTTTTTCCCCTTCCATCTGCACATGCAGTTACAACATCCTTTTCCTCTTCTCTTCAACTTTTATTTTTTTCAAATGGCATTTAACTCATTAGGTTCTGTAGATTTCTTTTTTTTTATCTTTTTCCTTTTTTTGTTTTAAAAAATTGTAGAAACATCATGGAAATCGGCTGTGTATATTACATTTTGATTGCAATGACTAAGATGAATAATATAAAGAATATTCATGGAGATATAATTGCTCATGGCTCCATATTTTAAGATCCTGACCCCTTAGCTACCAAAGATGGAATTTACAGTATAATCTAAACATTGATACGATTATATTATAAAGATTAAATCATGGTTGGTTCGTTTGTTCTACTTTTGTTATGTAATCTTGGAAGAGGATTGAAAACAAACTTGTTCGGGTTGCTTACTCGTTTGTGTGCAATCCTTCTAAACTTGTACATAAAAATCGTATACACTCACCAACCATGAATTAATATATTTGTATGCATGACGTCTTGTTCGTGTTATTTTCAAACTTTCTCATCCATTTAGTATCTTTGTCTGATATATCACTTGCCGTCTGCTGATGAACCGATGGTTGCAATTTCTTTGAAAGTTGATGCTTACCGTGGACTCAAATTATAAGTCTGTAGATTTTTTCAAAAACCGTATTCTTACTTGTAGGGAATACTGCAGTTCTCCGAGTTAAAGGTTTTCAACTTACATGGCAACGGGATTGAAAAATTGACTGACATCGATAAACTTGCTTCTCTACAAAAGCTAAGATCTCTTACTGTTCATGGAAATCCTGTGGAGGACTCAAAAGGATACCGACAATATATCATAAGCAAAATACCTCAGCTTGAAAAATTGGATTTTTCCAAAATAACGAAAGCTGATCGAGAAACTGCCAAAACATTGCTAAAATTTTGTTCAAAAAACAAGAACATCGCTTAAACTTTGACATTTATATTAATGTTTTTCTCACTTTTGATCTTGATGACGAGATAAAGTCATTGACAAAGCGTGTTTACTTTTATATTGCATCGTTTAATAATTCATATATAATATTGTTGGTGAAAAACAACCGTAGTGATGGCTGCAAAAATCTTGTTTATAATTCGCTTTCTTAATGCAGCATTATTATTTAGAGGAGAATTAATTGTCGGCACAATACCATTGTTTTCTCCATACATTTCTCGATTTATGTACTTTGGTTTAAATAAAATGCGTTGGACTTCTCTAAGATCATTCAATTTCGTTTTAAAATTTGTTTACTATAATGAAGGAAATCTTTAACACAAATTTTATTCCCTTTTTGTTCTCACAAATATTGGTCACTGAGATTATTAGAAAATTTACTTAAGAAGGACAAAATTGTTTCCACCCTATATTGTTTCACTAATATATCGGGAATTACATCCCGCGCAATTTAATTCATATACTACCGTTGATTTAATTGAATCAGGGATCAGGTCTTTGAATGAGAAGAAGTTTTTGATTTTGAATGATGTGAAAATTAGTCGAAAGTCAATATCTGTACAGAAGCGTTTCATAATGTTCTTAAGCCTGCGCTGTGTGTGTCGTGAGTAATGTTCAGTGTATGGTAGTTTAAAGTACTGAGTTGTTATTTTGGAATTTTCGTTTGTGATGGTCGTGATCGTCGTAGTGTCCAGTTTGAGTTTATTGTTATTTCTGTTGTCGAGATATCATTTTACGGTTCTGTTAATAAAGTTTTTGATTTTGAATGATGTGAAAATTAGTCGAAAGTCAATATCTGTACAGAAACGTTTCATAATGTTCTTAAGCCTGCGCTGTGTGTGTCGTGAGTAATGTCCAATGTATGGTAGTTTAAAGTACTGAGTTGTTATTTTGGAATTTTCGTTTGTGATGGTCGTGATCGTCGTAGTGTCCAGTTTGAGTTTATTGTTATTTTTGTTGTCGAGATATCATTTTACGGTTCTGTTAATAAAGTGTAGTAGGAATGAGTTTCGTAAAAGAATGGATGTGTTCTTTTTTGTCTCTTTGAAAGCCATTGTTCGTATTGTTAAAGTGGTACTATGACGAAAATTTTGCCTCTCGTTTTTTTTTCATAGATTAATAGTGTATGTAAAAAAATCTCTTCTGGCGAAATTTTAGCGCAATGTATTTCATGCTGCTCGAGTTACGTAGCGATAAAGCTTGAACTTTAAGAGCCGCCATTAAAATGCGCCATATTTGAATTTTCAAGAAAGAAGGTGCTTGTGACGTCATAGTCTTAACTCGCGGCTGTTTACAATATAACACTATATACAAATAGAGATTTAAAAGGTTGTATAACTCAATTTTTTTAACATGCCTTCAACACGCTGTGTCGTGCAAGATTGCAGTAACAAGTCTGATAGAATTACAGGCATTTCATTACATAAAAGCCAAAACGACGAGTCTTTGAGAAGAATTTGAGTTAAATTTGTTCAGACGAAGCGCGCAAACTTTAATCCGAGTTCGCGCGAAATTCGATTTATGATTTGTTCGAATCACTTCTCGGATGATTGTTTTGAGCGTTTATTCCATTTGGGTGGTATGACTAGACGGCTGAAACCTGGTGCCGTACCTACTATTTGGAAGAAATCACAAACACCAACAACGTCAAGAGAGCGGCGTCAGGTTAGCACAAGTTGCAATTATTATATACTTACACATATTGCAGATGATAAATTTTCACAATTTGAGAGAACCAATAATACATCCAGGCAAACTTTCAATATATAATATACATTTATACTAAGGTTTTAGAGGAAATACAAAATGAAGTGTCTGTATCATGCGATGACCTTTGGTCTTTAAACCTAACGAAGCTGCTTGAAGAACAAATTCGTTCAGGCAAACTTCGTTAAAGCCAGGGTGATCCAAAATGCATTTCCTTTCATCGATTTCGAACTGATACATTTTACCACGGCATTGCTCTATTTCCATGCAGCATCGGCACTCTTGAGGGTTGACAACAAGATCCAACGAACAATGGCCACATTCACACCTTTAATATTGGCCAAATTGTATGTTTCCATAAAGTTATCATAGCTAACGGCAGACGATTCAGATCAAAGTAAAACACTAAGAATGACATCTTACCATGAAGTAACATCAACACGGGCATCAAAACGATCTTGCAGCATGTCTTCAACCCGCCGTTCTTCTGCGACTGCAGCTTCGTACTCAGCAATTTCATAGGGCGAAGCAAGCGGTTCAATATTATCGGCAAATGGCAAAATTTCCGAATTAGATTCGTCCGAATTTGCCGTCATGAATTCCGATGAAGAAATCGATGCGTTTGTCTCGATCGAAGACTCAGAAAGCGAGCTAGATCTCGATGAATTTGACATTTTTTTGCTCTATTTATGTATTACTTTGTATACTTTCCAATGTGCGCGTCTTGCCGTGTTAAGACTATGACGTCACAGACCTTTGCTGATTGCAAATATTCAAAATGGCCGATTTTAATGGCGGACATGAAAATTAGACATTTCAAATGTTCATAACTCCCTCGTTATACTATTATTTTTGCTTAAATTTTACGAAAGCAATAATTGATATGTGTTTAAACTATTGAATGCTAAAATCGATGATTTTTTAACGTTCAGTTTTCGTCATAGTACCACTTTAAGTTTGTATGCTCTGTCGATTAGTGTGCGTATAAGTCTGGTTTTGTATGAAGGTGAAATGAAGCTAAAATAATTCATCAGAAGTCGTGTGTATGTTGGTTTGTAATATGTAGACGTTGTACAGGTGTCATGGGATTTTGTTAGTAAAATGTCAACAAATGGTAGTTGATCTTGTTGTTCAGTTTCGAATGAAAATGTAATGTTTGCGTGCTGTGTGTTAATGTAATTATAAAATTTCATGGCCTCAGATACATTTGACGATCCAAGATCACAACTCCGTTGCTATTGTCCGGTTTGAGAATAATAATGTTTGGATTGTTTCGAATATTTTTAAGAATGGAATGTTTTTTGAAGTCGGCTGATGTCGGGTGATAGATGAGATGTACGAGTGAGCGATGTGTGCCAGTTCTGTTTTGAGATGCGTGTAGTCTTCTTAATTGCGAGTATTGTATTTTATAGTTTTGTAGATTCTTTCGAATGTTGTCAGAATGTCGGTTGAGTTGAGTCGCAGTGGTTTAATGCTGAAACTTAGACCATTTTTCAAGAGTTCTAGTTCTTCGTTTTTTAATTGGTGTAATGAAAGATTAGTTATCGCATCGTTGTGTGTGAATGGTAGAGCTCAGCCTCTGTTCCTCGTGAGATTACTTAGTTTTCATGATGTGTAGTAATTGTCTTTTGTAGGTATTTGGTTGCATTTTTTTCCAGAGCTTTGTTTAAGATACTCCAGTCGAGAGAGGATAGATCAATCTTTAAACTTGCTGATATTTTCTTTACTTCATTCGATAAATTCCGTTGTTCCTTTATTCGCTTTTTGATTGCACTGCGTAATAATCTTTTGCGTATCGCAATGTTCAAGTTTTTAAATTCAACACAATATTTAGTTTGTAACACGCTCCCCATTAATTTATCTCGTTCCCTTATTAGTATATGTAATAGCAAGGTTTCGAGTGTAATTTGGGAAAAACGTGCACTATCAAAATTGCACAAGTCCGAAGGACGAGTGGACGAGTGAAATTTGAAGTCTTTGAAAATCTCACGAGTGCATGTTTTCCAAGTTGCACTACAAACCATGCTATTACATATTAATAAAATACATAAAAAAATTTCTCAATCCTGTTGACTTTTAACTTCAGCGTACGTACATTCAGCCGGCTAGTTATTAATATCGACCTTCTCGTATATTTCAGTTCCGTCGGATATTACTTTTCACAACACCATAGCTTCCACACACACCGCTAGAACACGGTATCTACTTTTAGCAGTGTTCATATTTGTATCCAGAAACATCTTTAAAACGGTGAACTTCACACTCATTCGCCAAATAAAATCTACTTAAAACTTACGCCAGTCATTGTAATTGCTTTGTTTACAACAATGTAACTTTCCCACCCTTGAAATGTTTTATTTTGAATGGCTCTTTTGTTACTTCTTTCTTTGACTAACCAATCAGGAGCAGTTTTGAAGAGACATCAACTGGTGTTTCGCTTTTTTGCACTGGTATTTCGCTTTTATGCAGTGGTATTTCGCTTTTTTGCACTGGTATTTCGCTTTTTTCCACCGGTGTTTCGCATTTTTGTACTGGGTATTGAGGAAAATTGCACTGCTCTTAACCAATCAGAATTGAGAATTATTATTGTTATAATTTTTGTATCATATTACTTTTATATAAATCTTGTATTATTTATGTAATTATTCACATATACTGAAGATGGCATCATGAGATGTCGAAACATGTCTATTTTCAAAAAATTTGTGGTCTGCATTAAATGCGCATTAGCAATAGTGCTTCTACGAAATTATGGCAAATTAATATCAAATGTCTGTGAAAACCTTTACCAAACTCAAAGGATCCCCTACCGTCAATGGCGGATTGAGGGTATGTTAAAGTAAATTACTGCATCATATTTTTGAATATTTTTACATTTCTAAGCCCCATAGAGAGAAGTCCATTAGTAAATATATATTCTTTAGAAATTCAAAACAATTAGTGTTTTTCGAAAAGTACTTTGAACATAGAATAAACATCCAACAGAAGGCCCACTTGGCTAAAATTGTGGCGTATTTCTTCACTACGCATGCGTGACTTCCCAACAAGATACATTCACAAAACCAATATGGAATAGTATTGCACGAGAATGCTATTTTACTAATAATTCACCTTTAAAGCAAAAGTTTGCCGAAGTTTTTACAAAATGTTATCATCTTTCGAAGACGATAAGATTGTAAAAACATCTATATTTTCTATTGTCATCTAGCGGAAGTATCTTGCTTTAATGCGTGTCTCCTTAGAATTTGCTTCAGAAAGTGGGGGACACGAACATCAAAGGTTCCGACACGAGTGGACCTTCTGTTAAGATATCTATTCTGTGCTTTAAATTTAAAATTGAGCAGCTATAATTTACTTTACGAGCGCTGAATCTGCTACTGCCTACTGAACCAAAATAACTTTTCTTGTCAATTAATGCTTCTGTCCGTTTTTTATGGCGTCAAAAGTTTGATTAACGTGAATGACTGCAGAAATAATCTTTTGTTATTTTGCATTTGTTCAGACAACAACCTTCCACGAAACAGTTTAATGAAACATACTCAAAGAGTAAACCAACAGGCACTTAAGT